TCCCGGAGCCAACAATGGGGCCAGCTGGCTGCGGGGGGGGGAAGGAAGAAAGGGGGGCTGCTGGGGGTGGGGAGGGCTTGGAGTGCGCGGAGGGGGGGCCGCGATGTGGGGCAGGGCGCTGAGTGCTGCCGGCCCTCCCCACTCCAACGCAACCCGGGGGGGCCGCGACCCGCGCCGCGCAAACATCCCGAGTGGCACTCGGCAGCGCCGCCCTTCGGGGCCCCTATAAATGGGGGTCCCTATAAATGGGGGTCCCTACAAGTGGGGGCCGCCGTCCCCACCCCACAGCGGTGCCGGCTGGCGGACGGGATGGAGCGCAGCACCAAAGAGCCGCTGGTGGAGGAGCCCCCCCCGGTACGGAGCTCCCCGCGCTCTGCCCGGCCGCTCGGTGCCGTGCGGGGCGCGGAGCTCAGCGCCTCGTTTCCCCCCATAGCGTTACAGCGAGGCCGCCCCCCGACCCCCCCCCGTGAAAACCGTCGTGGCGGCGGCGGTGCTGGCGGTGCTGGCGGTGCTGCTGGTGGTGACGTTCCTTTTGCTGGGGCTGCACCTCGCCCAGGCGCACGCGGAGACGGTGAGAGCGCAGCCGGCGCCGGGGGGGCACCGCGCTCCGTGTGTTTCCCCCCCCCCCTTTTTCCCCCCGGAGCTCTGAGCGCACAGCGGTGCTCTGCGGGCGGTGGTCGTCGTCACCGCGGTGTCCCCCCCTCCCCACGCAGGTGCTGCGGATGACGATTCCTCGGGATGGGGAGGGCCCCCCCCAGCGCCTCTCCATGAGCCCGCGGGAGCGCACGGCGACGTTCGCGGTGAAGGAGGGACTCAACGCGACCGCGGTGGTGGTGTTTGACTACGGCAAGGTGCGGGGCAGCCCCACGGGGACGGGGTGGGCGTGGGGGTGGCGGTGGGGGGCACTCAGTGGGTCTGGTGCCGCCAGCTGCTGGTCAGCTACAGGTCCTGGCAGCGCCGCGCGTGCTTCGTCACCCGCGTGGATGGGGACGGCGTTCCGGGGCTGGATGCCATCAGTCAGCACTTCCAGCGCCGGGAGGTGAGCGCTGTGCCCAAATGTCCCCGTGTCATTGTCCCCAAATCCCATCCCATCCCCATCTGCAACCCCATTCTGTCCCATCCCATCCCATTCTGTCCCATCCCATTCTGTCCCATCCATTCCCATCCCATCCCATCCCATCCCATCCCATCCCATCCCATCCCATCCCAATCCCCATCCCATCCCATCCCACCCCATCCCATCCTGTCCCATTCTGTCCCATCCCACCCCACAGACGGTTGCAGCTCAGCCCATCGCTGACCGCTCCATTTTGGGCACCACCATCAACATCCTCTGCAGCACCGTCCCCATATTCTGGGCCTGATGGGAAAATCCCTGCAGCCCCACATCCCCGCGGTGCCACCCCTGTCCCCATCCCCACACGGGACACAGGCAGCGCTGGGGTTGAGATGTGCAAAATAAAGGCTGTGTCTGAGCGCCACCGTTGTCCTTTCGCTGCTGGGGACGTTTTTGGGGTGGGGGCACATCTGTGGTGTGGGGCAAGGACGGCTCCGACCACCCCCAAATGGGGTCCCCGTGTGCCCTGCTGTGGGGTGGGGGGTGGCACAGCCCTGGTGCCCATGGGATGGAAATGTCCCCATGGAGCAAATGGGGCAGAGCGGCCACGTGTCACCTGCGGGGTCGAATGGGGCCACTGTGTGCCTATGGGGCAGCAATGGGGGCTGTGGGGCAGCTGTGTGCCTATGGGGCGGCGATGGGGGCTGTGTGCCTATAGGGCAGTGATGGGGGCTGTGGGGCAGCTGTGTGTCTATGGGGCAGCGATGGGGGCTGTGTGTC